ATGTGTTTGTTGGATTGTTTTTGAGACAGGATATCACCATGTATCTCTGGCTATCCTAGAATTCACTATGTAGACCAGGCTGGCCTCAAACCCCTTATGCAGCTAAAGCTGATCTTGAACTTATGATCTTCCTCCCTCTTCTTCCCAGCACTGCTGGAATAGTGTGTGCCACCATGCTCAACTCTCTCCGCAGGGTTTAATTCATTTTACATCCAGCCTGGAGAAGGTGTGATGATCCAATTCACTTGTGAGCCTGCTAGCCATGAGCTGAGGATTTTGCAACTGTCTTTTTACCCTGTGCCCCTAATGCTGTGGTCTAGGCACAAAAAAGTTAGAGAACACACCAAGATGACAGGAATAAGGCCCCAGGGCATGGTCATCGACAACCCTACTGCTGAGATACCTGGCTCTGTCAGTGATGAGAAGAGCCTGCACTGTCCTGATGGGGCTCTAGGCCCTGTCACATTATCTTCGTCTCTGTTTTGTCCAACAGGGATTGGGCTGCCCAGGACTCCTGGGTAGGAGTATACCCTATACCTGACATCCCTGTTTTTACAGGTACCAGGTGATGCTACGATGCTGGGAGGCTGACCCAGCAGCGAGACCCACCTTCAGAGCACTAGTAATGGAAGTAGAGCAGGTAGCAAGTTCTCTGCTTGGGGACCACTATGTGCAACTGTCCTCCGGTTATGTGAACCTAGGCCTCAGCACCTTGGATGATGTAAATGTGCTCCCGGAGCAGCCACAGTCCTCGCCTCAGCACCACAGGAGCACGGCAAGGCCCCGGCCTCTCTCAGAGCCACCTCTCCCCACTTGACCTAAGCCCCCAGTAGGCCATGGGGACTGTATCTGCCAAGTGGCGTCTGGGCTGTGACAAGCTGCAGGGCACTGAACCTCCACCCTTAACTTTCTGAAGCCACTGGAGATGGAAACAGCACATTTAAGCCCCTCACGTCAGCACGAGCCAGTAAGGGCAATCTTTTTGTAGCATGTATTTATGGAATGTTTATTTTATACCCTGTCTGCTGGGCACAGAGGACTCGGCAATGATCATACAGAAACCACAGTGTAAACCAGTAAAAAAATAAATGGTTTTAAAGTACAAATTATGGTATATGCTGTGAAAGAAAGGAGGAGGCACATTGAGGGAATGGAAGATTGCTTTAGAGAGGCGAAAGGAGGCCCCCAGGAGGCGCCATTTTTACCAAAGGCCTTTCAGGTGGGAATAGTCCATTAGAAGCTAAGTTCAGATAAGAGATTTGGGGCAGAGTAACTAGCATGTGCAAAGGCCTATGACTCTAAAGGGGCTGAGTCTGCCAGAAGGCTCCAGAGCATAGGGAGGCCCAGATCTCATGGGGATAGGTTGAGTGTCCACGCATGCAACAGCCAAGTTGGCTTCTTCCAGGACACAAACTAGCTACTGCACTGCCCCTCCCTCGGTGGTCCTCCAGGTTCCCTGTATAGTACACAGACGCGTACATTTACTGCCGTGGTATGCAGGCTTGCCTGCCTCCCATCCTTGCCAGCATTGCATTTGCAACCCTGAGAGGGAAGCTCTCTCGGATAGGCGTCGGCTCCACACTGCAAGGAGCCAACCTGGAAGGACCAACTTCCTCGTCTACTTATACACTGAGGACACTACACCATAGCATCTGGAGGGGCATGTTCCTCTGGAGGAGAAGTCAATCTCACCTCCTACCTCTCCCCTGTGCTCTGACTGCCACAGGGGCCTCGTTGGTGTTAGGAGCTGAAGTGCTGGGGAGGCTGGGCCCAGGATATAGATCTCAGTATCGACTGTCCCTCGATTAAGCTCCTCCCCCATGGTCTTCCCACTCCTCTGGTTGGATGACTCCTAGGTCTGTAAGAAAGGAAGGCTCCCTTTCTGTGAGGACCTTAAAAATGCCCTGTCACAGTGGGGCCCAGCATTTGGAGCCAGAGCTCTTTCCTAAGTGGGGTCCCCTTGGGATGGCAGCCATCCAACTGTTTTCTGCTCTCATTGCTGCCTATCCTGGCATCTTGGGTGGGAAGAGGTCCTAGGGCTCCAAGGACCATAAGCATACGTGTTTAAAGTGTAAAAAGGGACCTCTCTGCTGGGAAACAGTGTAAAGATGAGGGTCCCGGGAGTGGAAGGCGGGGAAAACTGGCCGCCCGCTTCCGGCACTGCCTCTGGTGATTCTCAGCATAGGCACAGAGGAAGCCGTGGCCTCGCACACCTGGTCACACTGATTTATTGGCCACATGTAGTTGAAGACTGGACAGCTATGTTGTTCCTGAGCTTGGAGAGAGGTAATGGAGTTTCCCGAGGCACCCCCATAGTTGCAGCCCCTGCACCAGTTGGGGAGGGGTTTGCATCCCCCAACTTGTAGCCCTTTATCTCACAACCTCATCCCAAAGGGTCCACTCAGAGTCTTAAGCCACGAGTTGGGGTGAAAGGCTTACTCCCCCACTGACTCATCTGTTCACTGGAAAGGCTCAGAAAGGAAGGGGAACTTAGCATGGAAAGGGATCCAAGATACAGTACAACACTTAGAAGGAAGACCAAGAAAGAATAACATTCAGGGGCCAGGTGGTGGCACACGCCTTTTAACCTCAGCACTCAGGAGGCAGAGGCAGGCGGATCTCTGAGTTTGAGGACAGCCAGGACTGTTATACAAAGAAAACCTGTCTAGAAAGGTAAACGAAAGTTAAAAAAAAAAAGAATAACATTCAGTGATGAGGAAGAGTGGGATATGGGTAAAGGACATACGTCATGAAAAAAATAAAAGGGAGTGAGAGGCAGAGTTAAGGGGGTGTCAGATTTTCTGTGTAGCTAGAATGTGAGGCTTGGAGTCTGACTGACACGTGGTGAAACTTTAGGCAAGCACTAGTCCTGCTGGTATAGCATTTAAGGCAGAAAACCCCTCATCTGAAGGAAAAAATAGATAATTTGAGCAGTTACCCCACTAATATGAACTTTCTGAGCCAAAAGTCTCCGGGGTCAGAATTATTCAGGAAGGAGCTCCGGTTAAGCAGGTACTTGGGGTATCGGATTGTGCCTGCAACACATTCAACAGCTCCCACGTTCTGAGCTCCATTTTCAGTCACCTGATAGTCCTGAGTCCATCTAGGCTCCCAATTCTAGGGTGTCAGGAGTTGGACTGATTTAGGATTTCAAACTGGTGACTGAGCTTCAGGGACTGGGGAGCATATAGGGAGGTTCTAGGTTCCCAGATGTGTAGAGGCATCTTGCTTTGCCAGTGAACTTGTGGTGGTGGCCACACCCCTTGGGCATGGTTTCAGGTTCAGACCTAACCCCTTATAAGGTAGAGAAGGGGCTGGCTCAAGCTCTTGGGTTGTGGTGAGAGCATCAGAAGGGCAGATACTGCCTCTTCTGGAGCAGGAAGACCACGGTGATTATTTACTCTTATCTGTGTAAGTGCTTCCCTAATAAATACCTAATTATCATTAATCTTGGGTCTGGTGGACTCATCTAAACCCCGCCTTCACAGATGGGCTGGGCATACTAGGCTGTTTCTGAATGGCCCTTTTGGCTGAGGGAGGCTGGCCTGCCTCTTTTCTCGTATACATGTGTAAGTGCATATGCATGTTGTGTGTGTGTGTGTGTGTGTGTGTGTGTGTGTGTGTGTGTGTGTGTGATGTCCAGGATATTGCTCAGGCACAGTGAATGGCTAATAGGAAGGAGAAGTGGCTAATGGCCTTGCCAGGCTTAGGTCTCCCGCCAGGGTAGGATGGCATGATCAGAGTTTTCTTCCAGGACTCCGGAGTCCAGCCTTCCCACCAAGAGTTGTGGACAGCAAGTCATTAACCTTTCAAGTCAGACATGATGGTACACACCTGTAATCCTAGCACTTGGGAGGTGAAGGCCTTGGTTACATAATAAACTCAAGACCAGCTTGGACTACATGAGACACTGTTCCAAACCAACAAACATGTCTTGTCTCCTTCCAGGACAACCCAGTAAGGCCAAGGGGCAAGAGAATGCCAATAAAGACTAGGGGAAGCCATGGTGGGAGCTGGGACTGAGAAAGCAGCTGATGACTCATAGCCTCCTGATCGCCCATTGGTGTCACTGTCATCTGGCACCTGGAAAGCATGCAATGAGTAGACTGACCTGCTTTGATGGGGAACCATAGCCTGGCCTGAGATTCCCAATACGCTTTGTCTCTCCATTGCTCCATTGGACCTCAGGGGATCTGGCCTGTGGTGATTCCTATTTTGAGTTTAGTTGGTAGGAACTGAAGGAAGTTACTGACTCATTAGAGGGCTTCAGGATGGGCACCAGCAGAGGGACTGTGAGTACCAGTGCTCTCAATGTCAAAGGGACCCCCATCTCTCCCCTCTGCTTCCTTTCTGTTGGTTTAGCCATTTGTGCATGCCCATAGCAAGTTGTAGATCTAGGATCCGATAGAGAGGTAGCTGACAGCAAATGCCACAGGACTCAATTAGCTTTGAAGCCGGCACTCCCTCTCCCATGCTACCAGCTCCTCCAGGGAGGCTGCTGTGCCTTGGAGAATTAGAGGCCTCAAAGGAGTTGGCTCCATCCCTGGGCTCTATGACAGTGCTAGTGTCAGCCACACATTAATAAATTTTGCCAACCTGTCCTGCCATGTCAAGAAGCCCCCTTCTCAAAGAGGGAAATGAATACCCTGGGAAGGTCCAGTCACCCTGTCAACTTGATGCTGTGGTCTCTTTATCTCATCGTTTTCTCTCCACAGGGTCTGTGTCTTATTGGGTCCCTGACTCTCCTCACATCCCCTCTGCAGATGCAGGCTTGGTTGGAGAGCTCTGCTCTGTAGCCATGAAGTCACATGTGCTTCTGACAGTACCCTTCACCCCTTCCTTACTCATGCTGGCTTCAGGATGGGGGTCTGCTCCCAGCAGCGGCATGGAGCAGCCAGCTGTGAGCAGCAGTCAGGGTGGCTGTGCCATTGCCCTCCCTCTGGTTGATGCGGCTGGCTATCTTTCACGCAGAGTTACGTAAGCTTGAGTCAATTGGGGCTCAGAGCGGTTCATTGTGGGCTATTTTTAAGCTGCAACACATCACAGCAGAGGGGTCACTGCACCAGCGGCTTGCAGGGAAGGTTGTTTAAACATCTGTTATTTAAATTTCTCTGTGCCTAGAGCTTAGAATCCATCTCCTCCCAGCACTGGTGACTTCTGCCTTCCACATCCCAGATTAGGAGTGGATTATCTCGCCTCACCCTCTCAAGTTCCCTGAGGCTGGGGTTCCTGTCTCTGGCTGTCTTCCTCTGCGGTGAGACAGGGAGCAGGAAATGCCAAGTCCTTACAGAATGGCCTTGTCTCCATGGAGTGGGTGAACCTTGGCCAAGATGAACTGCAGCGGTCTAAGGCTCTGGGGTCTCTTGCATTGTTCCAGAAAGGAGTGGAGGGGGCACAGAGCTAGGAAAGTGAGGCCCCTCACAATGTCTCATCAGCATCCAGACAGGGTTGGGCCACAAGAAGAAGCCTCAGGGTCTTTTCAGAAGCCTTCCTTTGTCTGGGCTCTGCTAGATGGATTGCCCTCCCCACACAGATCTAACACCACAGATCTGCAGCCTTGGGAACACTTAAACTGATGTACAAGGCCCAGAGACAAAGCCCCAGGGAAATAATCCCCGCTTTCTGATCCAATGTTAAGTGTATCGCTACGCTGGGAGACCATTGAAGGAGCTTTCTGATCTTATGTTTTCTGAGGTGTTGAGATCATTCCCGGGGCCCAGAGTGTTGAAGGCAGATGAGCTGGAAGAGTACAGAAACAGGGATTTCAGAGCTAGCTGCCTCCTAAGAATTCAAGGGAGCTCAATATAGGACAAGCAGGCTAGCTGTCCTGGTAGAACATAACCTCCCTTCTTACCGTGACGCCCTTTCCGTCACTTCCACATTCCCTAGGGCCCATTAGGTGACAGGGCTTCAGTCTGACCCAAAGGGGAGAAAATTTCCCAAGGTGACTGGATCTTCTCCCCAAGGTTGGGGTCTTCCACAGTACCTGTTGGGAAGTTGAGGTGAAGTGTAAGAGGGAAGGCCAAACTGGGCATTTGCCTTCACAGGGGAAACACTGACTTCACCTTCAAACTGAATTCCTCAGCTTCTCCTTGCCACCCCACCCTCCCAGGCCCTCAGCCTGGGGAATGGGCTTAGCCTGGGGGAGGGGATTTCAGGTTACCATGGCAACACTTTGGCCCTCCTCACTTCCCAGAATCAGAAATAGAATTGGACGCCCTTCTTCCTGGAGAGAGACTATTTAAAAAACAAGGGGGGGTGCACACAGGGGCACTATCCCTAGGAGCCAAGCAAAAGGGGCCTAGGCGGGAAGCTTCTTCACCCTGCCGCCTCAGGTGGATGAGACAGGAATGGGCTTCGGTCGGTCAAGAGTTCTGATGACAGAGGGCTAAGCCTGGCCACACAGAGCATGCAGCTGGGCCATATTCAGTACCATCAGGTTCCTAGGAGGGTACTGACTTACTGTCCCCCATAGAGAACATAACTTTTCCCAGGCTTTGAGTTACTTGCTAAGTTACCAGGAGGGGAGCAGGTCCAACAAGAGAGACACAGCTTTAAGTGTGGGCTTGGGGTTACAACTCCCCCAAAGGAGGCCCGATGGCTCTCTTCCAGCTGGGCCCATTAGGGTACAGCCTTGGAGTAGCACCCAGTGGTAGTATGATGTGTTCCTACAAGAGTCAGGGAGCCCACGTGTTCTTACAGTACGGGTCCAGAGTCAGGGAGCCTAGCTTCCAAGCCCGACTCAACTCTACACTTTGTTCCTGGGTCATGATTTCCTCATCTGTAATAAAGACACTGGAGTTACCCGCTCCATGAATGACTGTCAGGCTGTGTCCCATGAGCTCCACATTGTGCAGGCATAGAGAAAGAATGGGATCAATCCTAGTCACTGTTGTTCTAGCTCTAGGGTACGCTTGCTTCCCAAGTGTGAAGGGCTTTCTTTCCTGGGTCAGACCCTTCGGCTGGCTCTGCTCTCTCTTCCTCTGAGAGGCCTCAGGACAGTTGTTCACAAAGGATCCTGGAGAAGGGGTTATACACTTCTGAACGCTGTAGCAAATGGGCTCGGTTGTTGAGCAAGGGGAGGGGTGGCTCTTAGGCCGTCCCTCTTCACCTGTCCATGCTTCCCAGGCACAGCTCAACTTTTATGTCACATAGTGATTAAAAGCTGTCACCAACAACATCTTTGTCATGGAAAATCAAGTAGCTTGCTCAGGCCCAGGATTAATGAGGAGCAGTGTTCTACAAGGACGTGTGTGTGTGTGTGTGTGTGTGTGTGTGTGTGTGTGTGAGAGAGAGAGAGAGAGAGAGAGAGAGAGAGAGAGAGAGAGAGAGAGAGAGAGAGAGAGAGGGAGAGAGAGAGTCTGCAGACCCATGGGCTCTTCCACCTTCCCAGGCGCAGTGATGAGCAGTTTGGCTCCTAGGAACCCAGGCTATCTTAACTGGGGGGGAGGGTGGCACAAGGGGCCTGAAATGCGGCTGAGTCAGGCTTTGCCCAGCAGCCAATCAAAAAGGTGAGGATGCAGCACAGTGCCAGCCTTGTCCCTGGTCACACAGCCTCACACCCCACGGCCAACTGTAAACACTATTTTTAACCTCCGTGAAAACATGTTGCTTCAGAGGAGGACAAGCCTACAGCTGCATTCTTCACAAACCTGTTTCCTGGGTGGAAAGACTGAGCCCTGAAGGGAACACTGTCCTGGAAGACAGAGTGGGTAGGCCTAGGGCTCAGAGCGGGAGGAGGAAGGAGGTTTGACTACCCAAGGCAGAAAGAACTTCCAAAAGAAGGACCATTCCAATGACCTGTCCTCTAGCTGTAGAGCAGTGTGGAACCGCAGGGTAGCCCTGGATCTGAGGGGCTAGTCCAAGTAGATTTGAATCCTTCCTACCTCTCTGTTTCCCCATCAAAGAAAAGAGGGAGAATTACTGATCAAGCCTAAAAGCTTCAAAAATTTTTTTTACACATCTACCCATATCTGGGGCTTTGTGTAGCTTGTCCTTGCTGTATATACAACACCGTTCTGACACCCACGGTGTGCTCAGTCTCACACCTGCCGTGCCCCGATTGTGAGCCTGGCCAGTTCCTACTACATCCCTATCATTCCCTATCTTGTAAGTGGCACTTGGTTAACATTGTGGCGACTGCAGCCTAGCCCTGTGCCTAGTGCTATGCTCTCATTATGGCCAGGATGAAACTGACACAATGTGACAAGAGCTGGAACATTCTGACTTGAAGATTCTGAGTAGAGGCCCCGCCTCCACCACCCCCATACCCACTCCTGCAAGATACTGGTCCTGGGCTTCAGGGACATGTGGCTCTGGGGAGGGGGCTCTATGAGGCACAAGCAGAGGAAAACCATCTGGAGCGAGCGGCAGAGACTGCCAAGGAGCTGCTGTCCCTGGAGCGGGAGCGGAAGTGGAAGCAGGGAACACGGGAGGGAGCCTGGGGCTGAGCCTGCGCCCCTCACCCTCTTCTGTCTCTCAGACAAAGTAGCGAAGAAGAGGCTTTGCTCTTGCAAAGGGCCCAGTGTCAAGGAAGCCCTCAGTCTCCCTGACTACGCTTCTCCCTTGACCTTACCTCGGCCCTCTCTGGGACACTGCCCTCACTCAGGGGCTGGCCTGGGGAGAGTGGTCACTGATTGGTAAAGAAGGGGCAAAGCTGACCCATAGCAGTATAATGTCATTGAGACCCCTAAGTTTCTCCACCTCCCAAAGTCTCCAGAGAAGCACCCCCTTCAGTGGGTGGGGCCCCAGTTATGCCATACTTTGTCACTCTCCAGGTCACTGGGGGCAGTGATTGTGTGGGGTCACCATGGCAATGAAGTGGGGGCAGGGCACCTAGGGCATGGGGCAGGACTATGGAAGCCACCAAGAAGGTGGGGGGCCCTGATCCATCGGGCCCCCAGGGCCATCCCCTGCCTGGCAGCCAGCAGCTAAGGGTCGGCTTCAGAGGGTCCCAGGGACCATGGATGAGCTCGAGATCCCTATACTCGAAGCAGGGGTTGTCACTGTCCACGGGGGCCATCGCTGACATGGCCTGCGACTCAACTTCCCAAGCTCCCTCTTCTCAGCTAAGTCATCAGCTACTCCAGGATTCTGCTCAGGTCAGCTCCCAGTGTGATTATGCACAGGCCTCCCAGGACACCCCGAGATTCTCCTCTTCTAATCCACTTCCGAGCCCCACTGTGGGAACCCAAGAGCGTCTCCTCATGGACGATGGAACCCAGACTCTACCACTGTGCACACACATCGACAGCACCAATGACAAAGCCCAGAATGGATTCAACCTCTCCCAGATTCAGCTACAGATTGGGAGGGAGAGCAAGACTCCAGCTAAGGTCCTAGTAGGCTGGGGCAAAGGAACCTGTAACATTGGCCAGATGGCCCCTGTGGGTCCCAGGAAGAGTCGATGGCTACCCTATCTCCTCTCAGGAGAGAGTGGCGTAGTTGAAGGTCAAAATCGTCTTCAGACTCTGGCTCAGACTCCAGCCCAAGAACAGGGGCAGGACAAGGGTCCAGGTCCAACTCAAGCTCCTACCCTGAACAAGACTATTTCTTCACCTTCATTATCTCTTCCAACCCCAATTCAGGCTTCTACTCCAGCTGTGAATGCACCACCAGCACCTGCTGCAGCTGAACCTTACACCTCTGGCCCCAACCATCTGACGAATACCACTGTGGCCACTAATGACCAGCCTCTTGATCTCAAAAATGGTGGCAACCAAGTGTCCCTTCACTTAGATTCTTCCAAAAAGGACAAAGTGTTTTTTCCCCTTAAGGAGACTCCTTTCACTCCAGCACCTACTCCAGAAGAGTTTTCAGCTCCCACCCAGAAGCAAGAGGTTGCCAAGATGCAGATGCCATCCAAGCAATCAGAGGACCCTGAAAATGTGTCTCAGGTCCATGCCTCCAGGTTAGATGTCTCAACACCAGCCGCAGAGTCTCTGGATGCTCTCAAGACACAGATAAGTAGCCACAAGATTTGCAGCTGTCAGCCAGACAAGCAGTCCCCCAGTGCCTTTAACAACAACAACTGCTCCAATGTGCCGCTGCCTGCCTGTCAAGGAGCCAGCATCAAGCAGTCTCCAGCCCAGAATCCCAGAGAGACCATGCAGATTCCCATTTGTAGTGCTCCAACCTGCCAGCTCCAGGATGCTGTGGAAGACCATGTGCTGGTGTTTGATATGGCCACAGGCAACACCAGGATGGGGCTGCTATGCCATGATCCCACGGGCTCACGGGCAGTGCTTGTAGGTCTCACACCCAACCACCCATCAACTCACATCTCTGAAAACATGCTCTCTGCTCGGTCACTGCCCAGGCCAACCCTCTCACCTAACAGTGATCACCCCAGCTTGTGGTCTACCACAGCCACGCTGGCTAGCCCTGTGCCCTCCAGCCTCTCAGCTGGCAGCTACCGAGAGGTAGCCCTGGTTTCCAAGGAGGCCAAACATAACCTAGAGTCACGGAATTTCCCTGGCACTGAGACCCCTCTCAGGATTGGGATGTTTCCTAGACCTGTTGTACCGGGGACACCCCTCCCGTGTGCTGAAAAGGTACTGGCCCAAGTTCCTGATGCTAACTGGCCCAAATCTGAGGCTGAAAAGTTTGACCCTGGCCGCACCATCTGGATGCTGGACTCTCCCAGGATGCAAGAGAGTTCCACGGTCCAGGCTAGGAAATTGCAGTGGATAAAGCCAGATTCTGTGTCAACAGACAATAACCAGAGAGTGCCCAGATTGCCACTTCAGGAGGAAGCTGGCAGCAATAACCAGAAAGAAGTCAGTTCTGCTCAGTCTAGTGGCCCTCAGGCTGAAAACACCAGACAGGTCTTCCTCACTGGTCAGAATTTCCTCAATGGGCAGAACCTCCTTGTTAGACAGCTACCTGTAGCAGAGCAGGGATCCCTATCTGGTCAACTGCCCTCTACCAAACAACCACCCCTCACTAGTCTACCTCATCTCAGTGAGCAGACTCCTCTTCCCAGACAACTTTCCCTCAATAGACAGGTGCCCTTCACAGTGAAGTCCCCCACCACCAAAGAGCCCACCTTTACCTCTGGGGAGTCTGTCCAGTCCTCCACCCAAGAGAGTGAGCCCTTGGGCAATCGTGCACATGTGGGAATTCTCCGATTACCCCTGGCATCTGAGGAGGCCTGCATTTATGTGAACAGAGACAAAGCTGTAAACAGTAGTGCCCAAAGATCCAGCATCCACCCACTCCCATCCTGGCAACCCGGCGACTCCCAAAGGGCCCGCCAGGAACAACTTTCTCTGATCACATTTACTGGCTGTAAGGACTTGCCCATATCCATGGTGGGCCCTGAGTCCCAGAGTGGACATCAGTTCAAGTCGACAGCTGAGGACATGACACGCTCAGCAGTAGTTGCACACCTGGGTCTTCTCCGTGGGAATTGCTATGAGCTGGTGTCCCCAGTGCAGTCCCCAGTGCTTTGCCACCACTCACCCAGTCCCTACCAGAACATGGCAGCCATAGTGATTGACACAGGCACAGGATTTACCAAATGTGGACTGGCTGGAGAGGACCATGTCCTCAGTGTGGTACCCTCACAAGTCCAGATGCTACAGCATCCAGCCCAGGGCCAGCCCCAGTATGTGGTACCGGAACACCAAGAGGGCTCCTACTCTGTGCTGAACCGAGGAGTGGTCTCTGACTGGGATGCTCTGGAGGTGCTGTGGCAGCACCTGTTCTACTGCAAGCTTCGAGTGCAGCCTGAGGAGATGGCTGTGCTTGTGGCTGACTCCCCCATCTCACCACGCACCAACAGAGAAAAGGTGGCGGAAATACTCTTTGAGCGCTTCCGTGTGCCAGCTATGCAGACAGTTCATCAGGCTCTACTGACACTCTATGCTTATGGGCGCACCACCGGGCTGGTGGTGGGAAGCGGCCATGGAACCTCCTATGTGGCGCCTATCCTCACTGGGGACCTGGCCCCACTTGACACTTACCGGCTGGATGTGGCTGGTGCTGATCTTACTGACTACCTGGCCCAGCTGCTCCTGGCAGCTGGTCACTCACCATCCAAGGCAGGGCTTGTCAGACAGATTAAAGAGGCCTGTTGCTATGTGGCTATGGATATGGCCGCTGAGATGGCCAGAAACCAGTCCCAGGCCCAGGTGGACTTTGTACTCCCAGATAAGCAAATTATCACACTGGGCTCTGAGCGCTTTTGTTGCCCTGAGGCTCTCTTTCAACCAAATCTGCTAGGTCTCAACCAGCCAGGCCTCCCACAGCTGGCCCTGCTAAGTATCAGTCGTCTAGAGGCCAAGCAGCAAGAGCAGCTGCTGGCCAATGTGGTGCTGGAAGGTGGCAGCACCCTGGTCAATGGTTTCCCTGAGCGTCTGCGACAGGAGCTGGGCCCCAGTGCCACTGTGCTGGGTTCTCCACATCGTGCAGTCGCTGCCTGGCTTGGGGGTTCCATCATGGCATGCCGGGACTCCTTCCAAAGCCTGTGGATCAGCCGAAGGGAATACGAAGAGGAGGGCCCATGGGCTATCTACAAGTACCAGCTCTGAGTGCATAAACTTCTGACTCTGCTTGCTTTAAGTACTATTGCATGTTTTAGATGGAGGGTGGTATGGGGAAGGCAAGAATCCAGACATGGGGCCTGAGAGGGGGGTCCTGGTTACCCCAAGGCATACCTATCCTCAACACTCAAGACCCTCATGAGCCCTGGCAACCTGCCCTTTCCAGAGACCCCCAAGGCCCCTTGGCCATCATTATCTCTCATCTGGCTTGACCTTTACTGCACCCCAAGGGCAACCACAGAAAATGGCTGCTGTGGGGTTTTGCCCTGTTGCCCTGACGACAAGTGCAATTACCCTTGATTGCCAGCTTGTTGCCATGGTAATTTCAAACATAATGTAATAACCCACACAGCCTAGAGTGAGTCATGAGGTGGGGGATGGGGGCAGCCCCTTCCCCTAGCTCCAGAAGGAGGGATTGCTTCCAGCTCCCTTCTTGGGCCTTCTTCTGGGTGCTGAGGCCAGCAACATGGACAGTAGCTGAGCAATTCCAAAGGTGGTTTTGGGTATGGAGCATTGCACCCAAAGAGGGTGTCTATCAGAGTCTGTGCTTCTTGGGGAAGAACCTAGTAAATAATACAAGAACCTCTTAGACTCTTAATCTTGGGTGGGTGTTCTAACTGGGCTATCAGGGGCTTCAAAATAAAAGCACAGGGGAGCACTACCTTTGATACCGAGGGTAGGAAGCAGAGAGGGCAGTTAAGTGCTGGATCCCAGAGGGAAAGCAAACTAGAGCTGGGTTGCTGGGCTCCAGCCTGCTCTGTAGACTCTTTGGATACTCAAGTTCACATCTTATCCTACCTCTTATTTTGGCTCTCTGATCCTCTAGCTTTGGTGGGAGCCAGAACTATAAACTCTGGGCTCGCTTCTCCTTTCTAGACTCCTCTTCCCTCAACCCAGGCAGCTCCTGAATGCTCAGTGGCCAGAGTTCTCCTTAGGAGGGCTCTTACAGAAGCCACTGGTAATGCCAAAAGACTTTTTTTTTTTTGGTTTTTTGAGACAGGGTTTCTCTGCAGCTTTGGAGGTTGTCCTGGAACTCTGATCTTGTAGACCAGGCTTGGATTAAACGTGCCACCACTGCCCAACTTGTCTTGCTTTTAGAGATAGGTTTTTGCGTTTTTTTTGTTTGTTTGCTTGGTTTTTGGTTTTTTTGGTTTTTCGAGACAGGGTTTCTCTGTATAACAGCC